TATCAGAAGCGGGTCAGTGCGCCCATAACCCCCCAGGCAAACGCGCCTGTAACCCCCCCTAGGATCGATCGGGGATCTCACAGTGTAGCTCTACTGACACGTCGCCGCCCCTATCGGCCCCGTCGCCGCCGCCAGCGGCCCCGTCGCCGCCCCTAACGTCCCCGTCGCCGCCCCTATCGGCCCCGTCGCCGCCGCCAGCTGCCCCGTCGCCGACCCTAGCAGCCCCGTCGCCGCCCCTATCGGCCCCGTCGCCGCCTCCAGCGGCCCCGTCGCCGCCACTTGCGGCCCCGTCGCCGCCCCTTTCAGCCCCTCCTCGACCCTGCCCCGGCCCCGCCCCGGCCATGCCCCGTCGCCAGCCGCGGCGCACCGGGGGCACGTGCACCGCCCCCCCCCCTTTTCTCGTCGCCTGTCGAGGCGACCTGGGGGAGGGGGGCGAGCATCGCCCCTTCTTCCGCCTGTTTTGGCGCCCTGGGAGACCGCGCGTCGCCCCCCCCCCCCCCCCCCCTAACCTCCCTACCCGCCGTCCCGCTCTGCCCTGTGTTAGGGTCTGGGGGTGGCGAGTAGGGGGTGACGGGTGTATGGTCTCCCCTGCTCCTCCTCCTCCTTCGTCTCCCACTGCTGCAGCTGTCGCTGAGGGGGGTGGATGTGTGGGAGCCTGGGGTTTAGGGTTTAAGGGGGGTGCTGTGGGAGTGGAGCTAGGGTTTTGAGGGAGGTGGATATATGTGAGCCTGCGGTTTAGGGTGTAAGGGGGTTGCTATGGGAGTGGAGCTAGGGTTTGAGCAGGGGGTGTGTGCCGAGAGGTGTGGGGCAGCTGGAGGAGGTTGGTTGAACGGAGGTTGTCGTCGTCTGGTCTGCAGCACCAGTAGTCCGGGGCGCTGCTCCGGTAGCCCAGTCGTAGCCAGCTGTGCCAGTCGCCCGTGGGTCCGCTGCTCATCTGCTGCTAGTCTTAGTCGCGGAGCCAGTTACTCCAGTAGTCCGGAGCGCTGTTCCGGTAGCCGATGTGCCAGTGTGACTCCTGTTGCCCGTGTGTCTGCAGCTTCAGCCGTCGCCTCCTATCTCCTCTCCTCTTACAGTCTCGCCTCCTCCTCCTCACTTGCCCTTTGTGAATGACTCTAGCTTTGCTCGCTATTGTGAACTCCTGCTCTGTGCCTGCTTGCTCATTGTGCTGATTACACCCCACTTTGGCTATGGGGGTGTGTCAAAATGTTATGTTTGTCTAGCCTGCAGTGGGGTACTCAATAGTGAGTACTGTTAAAGTTTAGAAGAAAGAAGAGGGTTGAACTAGCAAGAATGAGGATAAAAATAGCAAACCCTAGAAGGGTTGTACTCGCTATAGAGCACCCCACTACAGGCTAGAGCATAAGATAACATTCTGACACACCCCCATAGCCAAAATGGGGTGTAATCAGCAGAGCAAGCAAAGCAGTACAGGCTCAGGGTGGATCACAATGTCACCACACATTCTGAGCACAAGTTCAAGAAGCAATAGTTTAGAGTTCACAATTATAAGCAAAGCTAGTGGTAGTCACAACGGGCAAGTGAGGAGGAGGAGAGAGAGTGAGAGGAGAGGAGATAGGAGGCGACGGCTGAAGCTGCAGACACACGGGCAACAGGAGGCAGACTGGCACAGCGGCTACCAGGCGAAGCCCCCGGAATACTGGAGTAACTGGCCCCGCGGCTAAAGTAGCGGCAGACGAGCAACGGACCCACGGGCGGCTGGCACAGCTGGCTACGACTGGGCTACCGGACGAAGTCCCCGGAATACAGGTGCTGCTGGCGACACGACGGCAACCTCCATTCAGCTTCCCCAAACTATCCCACTTCCCCTGGCACACACCCGCTGCTACACCGCTAGCTCCACTCCCACGCACCCCCCTTAAACCCTAAACCCCAGTCTCCCACACATCCACCCCCCTCAGCGACAGCTGCAGCAGTGGGAGACGAAGGAGGAGGAGGAGCAAAGGGAGGAATGAAGAAGTGCCACCCCCATACTCGCCACCCCCAAACCCTAACACAGGCAGGGTGGGATGGCGGGTAGGCAGGGTGGGATGGCGGCGCTCGCCCCCCTCCCCCAGGTGGCCCCCGAGGGAGCCGCGACGGGCGACGGGAAAAGGGGCCGGGGCGCAAGTAGGGCGGCGGGGCCGCGAAGTTGGGGTGGCGGGGCCGCGAAAGAAGGGCGGCGGGGCCGCGAAGTGGGGCGGCGGGGCCGCGCACGTAGGGTGGCGGGGCCGCGAAATGGGGCAGCGGGGCCGCAAAGTGAGGCGGCGGGGCCGCGACATGAGGCGGCGGGGCCGCGAAGTGGGGCGGCGGGGCCGCGACGGGTCCCCGTCGCCCGTCGCGGCGCCACCAGAGGGCGACGCGGCGAACGACGGGGCAGAAGCCCGCCGCGCGCCTCGGGGCGCACAGCGGGCGGAGAACCGCCGCGCGCCTCGGGGCGCACGACGGCCAGAAAACCGCCGCGCGCCTCGGGGCGCACGGCGGGCAGAAAAACCGCCGCGCGCCTCGTGGCGCACGGCGGGAAGAAAAAGTTGCAGCGGAAGCGAGGAGGTGGTAACCCACCTACAGGATCGATCCAAGGGGATCGACCTGCTCTGATAGCATGTTAAAGTTTAGAAGAAAGAAGAGGGTTGAACTAGCAAGAATGAGGATACAAATAGCAAACCCTAGAAGGGTTGTACTCGCTATAGAGCACCCCACTACAGGCTAGAGCATAAGATAACATTCTGACAAGTACATCCCAACTTAGGGTTTCCTATATGTACTCAACTGCTTGCTAGTGAACCCCCCTCTCTTCTTCATTTCTCATTTATTCACAGTCAGCGCCGCGATTTCTTTAGAGCTTTCGCGGATTTGCCGCAGCAGTTCGTTCAAGTGCTCCTGCGTGAGAGTCGTGACATCGATATGCTCTGCCATTACGAGGGACGTCGACTCGGCTTAGTCTAGGCGCAGTCGTGGTTGCACGCGCTTACGTGAGAACGTGAGGACAGCGGCTCCTTGAGGCTAAGGTGCGTGACAGTGAAAAATCAAAAGTTAATTTCCTGGGGTGCGGAGATCCGCGGTCCGAGAAGAAAGAGGCTCTGAGTACCAAGTGTTGCGGGTGCAATGAATCGAAGTAGCGGTAATCGCACTAAGGTGTCAAACGAGTACAAAATGTGAGCGAAGGCATGAGCGAATATTTATACGCGAAACATGCAAACGGTAACGCGATGCATGCGAGCTAGCAAGTGCTACGCTGGAAGCGAGGCTCGGGCTAGTACCGAAGTGTAGGCCGACACGGCCGGCCTAGCAGTGCGAGGTTTGGGAAAACAGTGCGCGCGAAGTTGGCGAAGCCCCGTTAGCAGTAACGCGCGAACAACGGCTGCTGCTGTACACGATGTTGCAGGGTGCGCTAAGGAATATCGAGAAATTTCCTTACAATCACAAAGCTATTTTGTTTATATTAATCAGACTTTCATAATGTACTATGTTTAATCATCGAGATGTAGCTTTATGCATCCGTCGATGTAACGAGACCGTCTCAAACAAGAACAGCCAGCTAGTTGTCGTTGCGTTATCCGCACGAGACGGGCGGGCGAAGGACTGCTAGTTCGCAAGTGGAAGGACGGGTGACTGAGACAGCTTGCGACGCAGGCGATTTGATCGTTCAGCAGTGATGTTTTGACTTCTGTGTTTTGCCCAGCTCATTCCCTTCCATCGTTGGCAGCAAGGTCGCAAGTAGACCATGTGCGACAGCATTTCACCATCTTCGTCGCAAGCGTGTTTATCGCAGCCATCATGACACTCGCCACCGACCACTAGACGCACACAGTCTGAAATTGACCTACTTGCTCATCGCATCGCATAGCCCAACCACCCCTTCTCGCATTCGGAACGACGTTCATTCCTCATTCTGCGTCAGCACAGCATTTCACGTCAGTGCTGGCACTGTTCCTTGCACACCTCCTCGCAGGATCCTTCCCCTCCCCAAATCCACGCATCGCCAACACTGTTGATGGAAATCGCAAGTCGCATGGTCTCGCACAGACGACGCTGCAAGGGTGAGGCGAATCTGCTGCACTCCGCCGTGCCGTGCAGTTAGCCTTTCGAATCGCGTTTGGCCGTCGTCAACATCCGAGCCGACGCGCGACGCTACCTATGGGACCGACGAGAAAACGAAATTTGTGCACTGATGAAAACTCCATCTGCGGGCGACTCGCTGGCAGAAGCTGTGGTGGACGACGCAGGGCACAAAAATGTTTATCCTTTGCCTTTCTTTTTTACAACCAAAGAGTTTGCACGGACGTCACTTGGCCAGTTTCCGTTCTGCCCAGCGAGCCACGCTGCCCACTTTCCAGCACACTCCCACACCCGCTCAAACCACCAGTCGTTTTCTAGCACTGACCTGACCTTCCGTCACAGTCTGCCCAGCACCACCCTACCAGCCATCACATGCCACGCCGCAGTGGATTTTGGCCGCAAAGACCAACAATCGAAACCTAAACTTTGTCGAGGACAGTGTGGTTAGTTTGGGAACGTTGTTTTACGTTACGTCGCGGTTTGTTTGTCATAATCTTCGAGCACTGAAACTTTAACAGGCCATTGTGTCATTCCCCTCCTCTCCTCACGCCATCCTTTCCACGACACAGCAGCACGGTGCTGCCCCCCCACACACCACTCACTGTTCCCCTCAACCTACCACCACACGCAGCCCAGAGGTCTTGGCTCTGCTCTGTCGACTCGAATGCGTAGCTTGTGCCTCTCGCTCCCAGCAAGACTTGGCCCTGCATTCCTTCCAACTCCATTCTAGCAGTCAACATCACTGTCTAGTTCTACAATCTCTATTTTCACTCCATCGCATCGCAGCACCCCTCCCCCCAACTTCTCCAGCCATGTTTTTAGACTCCGAGCGTCCGCTCTTCACATCCCCTCCTCCTGGTGTTTGCTCGCCGCCGCGCATGCCAATGTCCCCGCAATTGGCTGCCTCGATGTCTGGGGGATCAGCACCAATGTTAATGGACCATATGTCACCCCCGTCGTTCTATGACGGTCAATTCGACTCGTGTTACGCCGGCCCGTGCCCCGCGGGATTGCCGCTGGCGGGTTCCCCTTCCCCGCCATTGTTGGACTCCCCGCCTCCCCCCAACCCCGTCCATTATTTCGCGCAGCCGCGCCCGCCAACGCACCTTCCGCCTAGCGCGCACAACGGCATGGCGCAAATGCTTCCGCAAATACCTCACCATCTCCCGCCGAACGCGCACGAGATGGCAGCTGCGCAGGGAATGCCTGCGCTCTTGCCGCCGTCGGCGCAGCAGTTGCAAGGAGCGCACGGATATTGCGGCGGGGACCTCTGCGACTTGGAAGACCCGTCGTACTACTCGACGCTATTGTTCCGACCGGACCAGCAAGTCGTAGTGCTCACGTCGCGGATTAAGGTGCGGCGCGTTACCTCCCGTCTACCCCTTCGTCCCTCGCCGCCTCGCGCCCTGGCCCCCCGCCACTTCCCTCCCTCGACTTCTCGCCCCCTGAGCTTCCTCTTTCCGCCATTCGACGACTCCTTGATCGCTTCTCAGACTCGCCGTTCGTCCTCGTTTCTGTGTAGCGCCTTGCGTTTACTCGCCTGCGCCCTGCCGCGTCGGAACTATATCCGTAATCTCCAGTTGCCACCCCTCTCCTGTCTCGCCCAGCTCTCAACGCCCTTCTTCGCTCATTCGTCAATCGTCTTCCATCACTTCTCTCCCTTGCCCTTCTTCCCTCCCTCTCCTCCTTCCCTTCCTCTCGTTGTTTTCGCCATGGCAGGACAAGGTATCGGCGCAGGAGAAGACGCGGTGGTTGGACCAGCAACTATCGTACCGCCAGTGCCCCTACCCCATTCGACACATCGAGTTCACTCACTCAGGCGATGCCGGTGCGCTTCCCTGCTTGCCCGCCTGCTTGCCTCCCTGCCTCCCCTGCTCGCCTTTGCGCGCTCGTCCGTCGCCCTCCGCTTACCCCTCGCGCTTCTCCTTTCCGCCGTTCACGAGCTTCCCGCGCATGTGCACCCGCCCTCCCCATTCCGCCGTCCCATTCTCCACCAATGTCAATGTTTCTCCTTCGTTACGTATTGTTGGTGCCAGAATGTCAACGTTCTCCCAACGTCAACGTTCTCCCCATTTCCCATGCCATGGTTCCTGTCCCTTGGTCCTCCCCTCAGTCGTCGAATTCGTGTCCAATGTCGCAATGGCCAAGTCGCTGAAGCAGTCGTCGCTCAAGTGGGGTCGCCCGGCGTCGCAGGACGTCGCCACGCGGCCGTGCACGGAGGACGACATTCGCGCGCTCTTCTGGGTGGGCGTCGCGGCGACCGGCGCGACGAGCGCATCGCTGCTGGAGCTGCTGCCGCAAGTCAGACAGGTGAGCGCGTCTCGCAGCGCGGATGGCGCATCGCCTATGGCGCATCGCCGATGGCACACGTGAGGACGAGTGACACTGGGGCACTGTGGGGGAAGGCAACGGGAGAAGGGGAAGGGGTGGGGGAGGGTGGGGGGTAAGTGTAAGGGGGAGGTGAGGGGAATTCGGGGGAAAGGGACGCGGACGAGGGGGGGAGGGTACATGACGGGCGTGGAACTCGACGCGAAGGACGAGCAGCAGCACGAGCAGCAGCTAACAAGGCATTCTCCTCGCACGCCCACTCTCTCCTTTCATGACACTCACTTCCTTGACTCCCTCCGCCTCATCCGTCTCGCCCTCCTGAACAGGCCTTGCAGCAATTCGGCGAAGTGAGAGGGGAGTACGCGCCCCATCCTTCCTCCTCGGACCCCAGCACTCCCCCGCACCTGCGCGCCCCCCCGCCGTCCATGCTCAAGCTCTACTTCGCGCCGTCTGGCCGCCGCCGCCTCCCGCCCTCTATCCACGTGTCGCGGCCTGATAGGTGAGTCCGTGGGTGGCAAGGGGCGAGGCTACCGTGTCGGAGATAGGGGACGTTTGTTGGGAAAGGGCTGATGGCTGTTGCGGTTTGATCACCATTGAATGTGTCTACACCTGCATTCACGAGTTGTACTTACAACTCCCTCCCTGGACCTATCCTTCTCTTACTCTCTCCAACTCACCCCCGCCTCGCTCTCCAACCCATCTCATTCGCTGTTGTCCCCCGCCAGGCCTAAGGGATTCCCCCCCATGATAGCCCGCGTGTTCACGCCGCACGGGCACGGCCCGCTGGCGGTTAAGTGCGCGGACTTTGGCCCCTTCCACTCTGAGTACGGCTGCCCTGACTGCTGTAGCCGCCACTTCAACGGCTGGGGCGCCTAGCTGGCGCTGCAAAAGCAGTAGCAGCAGCGGCGGCAGCAGCAGCAGCAGCAGCAGCAGCAGAAGACAGAGACAGCAGGGCAAAGACTCACAGCAGCCAGAGACAGCGAACAAGACGTTATTAGCAAGGTAGCACTACAGTAGAAGTTCACACTCCGCGCCAATGGATTGGAAACGCCTGATTGACCTCTCGACTCTACACTGCACTGACCAGGGAAGAAGCACCCCTTGGGGTGCCGTGCAAGCAGGGATAGCTCTAGCTCCACTACCCCCGCCTACCCTGTCTCCAGACAAGATAGCCCATCCGTATGTGTGATCGAGTGTGGGTGGGTGGAAGGGAGGGGTGGCGTCTACTTACCTAACACATGGGCCTGCCACTATACTGAGGAGTTTGAGGATCCACTTCTGCTGGCTATTATAATGGCAGCTAGCTGCATGGATGGAGTAATGATGCCGGGTGAGTAGAGTTTAGCGTGATTGTCGCTGGCTTGTGGCCGGGCACACCATGCATGGTGATTGAAAGGAGTCGTGCATGTCTGAAGGATAGCAACTTGGTGTAACAGGTTTCGCTGTGGCTTACTGGTTTGTGCCAAGCCAGTGGTGTTGCAGCTGGAGTTGCGTTGCATCTGATATTGCAATGGATGTGCAGTGTGTAGGTTCAGCTGGGTTTCTTTTGGCTTATCTTTATTTCCTCCTTTTTTCCCTTGTTCACTATTAGCTTGCTTCCTTGAGTTGCAAGATTCATTCTGAATCTATAGATGAATGGATCTGATAGGAAGTGTGCAAATTGTAGTTGCTTCACGATGTGGAAATATGCTCTTGCCATAATGGTAGATATTGAGAAAGCTTGCTTTCTTTCTTATCAATTGGCATCATTCTCATTACAAATGGCGTATTACAACATTTGCATCATCGTTCGACATAAGCTAGTGCGGACTAATAACACTAGCTATTATGTACCCTATCCAAGTGGCATTAGCAAGGCGGTTTACACTGGGGTGGGTGGTGGGAATGTTGAGTGAGCCGTTTGAAAATTGAGAAACGTGGGTGGAGGGAAATGAGCTCCAACCCACGGTTTTTGTAGTTGGAGAAGGGCGTTTAGCGCGCTTCGACGATGCCAATTGTGCAGTACAAGCAGCTTCGCTTTCACAATACACAATTTTAAAAAACACTACATGTGTGTTTAAAAATTATAATATTGAGAAAGCTTGCTTTCTTTCTTATCAATTGGCATCGTTCTCATTACAAATGGGGTCTCTGAGACATGGGCAGCGGGGGCCTCCGGTTGCGTACGAGTGCCTCTGTGTGTTGCGCCGATGACACCGCATGCGTCGAATCTTGTAGGGTACGGGAGGCTTCGATGAGGGGCTCGACGTATGGCGTAACATACGTTTCCTTTGCTGTGTCGCTTCGCCATCTGCCCAGCCGTTTGAAGACTCTGTCTGGCACTCCCGTGTTGGCTGCTACTGTGGCTGCACCTTTTCGGAAAGAATGGGTGCCTAGCTGCAACTCTCCAAGGCCAACCTTTGCGAAGGCTTCCTTGCACCAGTTCCGGATCGTAGTGTATGAAGGTGGCCTAGCCTGGCCATCGCTGGTTGAACCGTGACCGAAGACACGAATCAATGGTCCCTCTGACCGTGGGCCATAGCCAGCGAGTCGGATGAAGCGTCGGGTGCAGCGCACTGGGCAGCAGGGGTCCGCCGTTGCTGCAATGGGTATCCAAGTGCCGTGACCAGCTTGATCGGTCTTGGAGTGTGGTATGAGAATCCACATGACCTCGTCGTCGAATTGGATGTCTTGCCATTTTATGGCTACTAGGTCAGAGTATCACAGGAATCCGGAGTACATGAGGATGGGTATCAACCCTTTCTGAAATTGCGCAGGATCGTCGGACTGCAAGTAGCTCGCGGCCATTTCCTGGACTTGTTGGATCGAGACGGGTTCCTTCAGACGAGTAGGGCGTGGGCAGTGTCGCTTTGCATAGTCACGGACTTGGGTGGTGAACGGTCCGGTTGTCGGGCATTTGCTCCCGGTCATGCGATGGGCGAAGCTGACCGCCGAGCAGGTTAGCTGCACTACGGATAGGGTGGCTTTGCGTCGGATTGCGTGTACCAGGTATAGCGCGAGGGTCATGTCGGATGCCGGGAGGAATGGAAGGTTCACTTTTGTGCAGAAGGCTCGAAACTTGGCCCAGTATGGTTCATATGTCCGGATCGTAGAATCGGCGCGGGACTGCGCGAGCATGTTGATCAGTTGGTCGTGTAACTTTGGGAGCAAATCTGAACACAAGGTGTATATATTTTGAATTAGTCAAATGCCACTCGCAGTGCAATGATTGGGCTGTGCGGTAGTCCCATGCCCGAAAAAGCAGTTGAATGGGACCCTACGTCTAGGCATTGGCTTCCGTGTGTCAGAGGGATGTGCGCGTGGATGTGTGGTGCCCAAGTGCGTGGGGAGGGTTGCAAGAGTGGCCACCAGCTTGCGCCTGGCCAGTGCGGAACTATCAGTGTGAGTGATGCATGGGTGCGTTGTGCGTGATGGAGGACGGCTGGGACCAGTTGAGGTGGGGGGAAGGCGAAGTTGTTTTCAGGTGTCCACGCGATCGAGAACGCATCAACTGCAATGGCTGCCGGGTGGGGAATCTTTGAACAGAAGCGCGGCAGTTGGGTGTTGCGGGAGTTTGCGAAAAGGTCGATGGAGTGAGGACCCCAACGACGTTCCAAGATCCGGAGCCACGGCATTTTCAGCGCGTAATCGTCGTGGTCGACCATTTTTGAAAGCTCGTCGGCGTGTATGTTGAGCTCGCGCGGAATCCATTCAATGATCAAGCGCGTGCCAAGCGCCATGCATGTTCGGATGATGCTCTTGCATGCCGTTGTGAGGTCGGGGCTGTGAGAGCCGCCTTTGCGAAGGATGAAGAATACGCCCTGGTTGTCCACCCGCACGAGAACGTGTTTTTGCTTGATCTTGTTCGCGTACGTTTGTAGCGCCCAAAGGAAGCCTTCGATCTCCCGTCGCGTGCTGGACGTTCCTCGTAGCGGCTCTGACATGGTTGCGCTAGCTTCTTCGATGCCACCCGGAAATGTGGTCAGAGTGGCGCCCCAACCATGAGAGCTGGCATCCACGTGGATTACCGCGTCGTAGCTGTTCTTGACGTGAAAAGGTGCGCCGTTGAAACGGTCGAACTCCTCGAGCCAAAATTGGAGCTCTTCTGCTGCAGACGGGGGGATAACGACGCTGCTTTTCCATGACGGTGCGTCGTCGATCACTTGTAACATAGCATGGCTGAATGCGCGAGCTGTCGCGCCAAGTGCGACACCCATCGATGCGAGCATGCCAGTGATTCTGGCCACGTGGCGGACCGGGACTGGTCGGCATGCCTTGCTTGCGCTCAGGAGGTTCCGGATGGTTGCATGTAGTGAGGCTCGTCGGTCCGGACCGATGGAGAATCGGCCGGTATCGGTCTCGAGTTCTACGCCCAGGAATCGGAGACGCTGCGATGGTGACAGTTGTGATTTCTTCGCGTTTATCACAAGGCCTGCCTCTTCAAGATCCAATATCACCCGCTGGCAAGTTGCTTGCGCGTCCTCTTTCGACTGGCAGAGAAATAAGATGTCGTCCACGTAAGGTACGACTCGGATGCCTTGTTCTCGCCAACGCCGAGCTAGTTGCTTGATGAGCTGCGTGAAAACGAATGGAGCTGTTGCGAGGCCAAATGGTAGTGAACGGAATGCGTATGTGCGCTTATCAAATTCAAAGCCAAGGAACTTCCAGCACGATGGGTGGATGTCGATGTGGTGGTAACCAGATTTGAGGTCAATGGAGAACATCCAGTCCCCAACGCGCGCAAGGTCGGCGACGCGGCTGAGCCCTTCGTACTTGAACTTGGGGATGATCAAGTTGGCGTTGACTTTCCTCAGATCAAGAATGAGCCTGCATTTGTCTTTTTGCTCGACCACGTTGAGTGGACTTATGCATGTAAGCTCCGTTGCGGCCATCGGAATTGCCGCTCCCGTCTCTATGAGTTCTTGGATGGCGGTACGTGTGAACGTGGCATGCGTGTTTGCCCCGACATGATTGCGATCGTGGAAATGTTGCGGTGGGCCGTGGCTCCATGGCAACCAGTAACCCTTGGCGATGACGGAGAGGACAAGGCTGCTGGGGCACCATGAGCTCCACCACGCAAATGTCGCGCGAAGACGACCGCGCATGTGTGTAATATTTCTGTCTGTAACGGCAAATTCGTACGGATCGTCGTGGCATGCCGCCTCGCACCGTCGTGCTCCTGTACATTTGAGGCCAAGTGGTATAAGCTTTGAGTATTCCACGTTAAAGCATGCGTGTGCATGTACTTGTACGGGCAACCATTGATCGAAGGTGTGAAGAGAATGAACAATTGAATGAAATGTCAACGAATGTGTCGGGAATGTTAACGCATGTCAACGCATGTCTCTTCTTCTCCTCGTTTCCCCTTTTTTTTTTTTTTTTTTTTTTTTTTTTTCTTGCCCCGTCGTCCACTTGGTAGGACATGGTTGTGCCTGCCCTTAGTGCGTAGGGGCTGATGCCTAGGGCCATGGACACCGTTGTCCATTGTGCTTTCTCTCATTCTCTCTTATCTCTCTCTCTCTCTCTCTCTCTCTCTCCCTCTCTCTCTCTCTCTCTCTCTCTCTCTCTCTTTCTCTCTCTCTCTCTCTCTCTTTCTCTCTCTCTCTCTCTCCCTCTCTCTCTCTCTCTCTCTCTCTCTCTCTCTCTCTCTCTCTCTCTCTCTCTCTCTCTCTGCTCCTCCTCTTGATTTTCATAGTCTCTTTGCCAAAACCATAGGCCTTTAGGAAGGTAGTTTTTATTAAATCAACCAACACACATAGCAATGTTTTCCTAGCATGCCACCAAGTGGCCAACATATGGGACCGAGGGGTTGTTGTTCCCCTTCCCTATCCTAGGCCCAAGCCTATCCCACCCTTTACTAGGGCTGGCCTCTTGCCATCGCAAACCCCTAGGGTTGC